ATATGCAGGGAATTAAGATTTACCAAAGTCATCTTTGTGGTCCATAACATCCACCTGTACAGAACAACTATTCCATTGATCACAAAACAAAACCATGGACAGCTCATTTTTTTAGACCATTTCTCTAATTACCATGTTAGACCCCCTTATTAAAATATTATTAATCAGAGTAAATAACACTATTTCCTGGCTAATTTGCTTCTGGAATTCTTTCAAACAGCAAAGTAAGCGCTTGCTTGTTCACTGCTTTTGCCAGACCATACAATGGCTACTCTATGCTGCTTTTTCCTGATTTTAGCCTTCAATTTCCTTTGGCAAAGCAGAAATCTATTAGTTTGCCCTTAATTAAGCTCATAGAACATTAATAAAAACCAAAATGAGCAAGCTAACTCAGAACTCCTGCACTTATTGGCAGGGTTTATGCCATTCAATCAGAATTTGACAGAGGATCTAGAACAGGTAAGGAACAAGCAGGCACTCAAGGATGAAGCAGGAAGATAATGTGGAACCCCAAGTGTTTAATTCACAGGAAAAGTTCCACAAAGGAGTCTGGCTTTAAGTCCTGGGGAAAGAGTTAGACAGATCTCTGCTTACTCACAACTGAGAAAAACCCAGCCTTAAGCAGCACCAGCAATCCAGGCTGACAGGTGACAGCTGGAGTATTTGCTCATCAATGACCACATCTGAAAACCTGCTTAAAAATGTACAGGTTTCTGGCTTAGCCAGCATAAAACAGATGAGAGGAAAGGCTAATGATGAAGATGGATGAGATGGATGGGAGAGAAGAAATGGGAATAATTTCACTGTGCACTTGAAAGCAGTCAAGTAGTTTCCTCTTGAATTACATGAGACCCTTTTCCCCTGCAAAAGAAAGCTTCTTTTCTCCCATGGACTCAGTGGCTGGTTTTCCTTCACAGCTCAAGAGGCTGTTTCAACCACTAATTGCTTCTGGTTAGGAAAAAAATATTTATTCCACAAGCATGGCTCTCTGCCTTGAAAATGTAGAAAGGTCAGAGTGCTCAAGGAACTTTCTGTTTGTTTTCTATCAATAACAGAAGGCACGAGCTGACAGCCATGCAGATACCCAAGTCAGCTCTAAATCCAGGGAGCTCCAGAAATGGAAACAGCCTGGTTGTCATAGCAGCAGAGCAGGATACCTGAGCTAATTACTCAGTCTGAGAGGCAGAGATAATTAGCCCTGATGCAGCATCACACTGACACAGTTATAATCCTTCTGGGACCTCTCGTACATATTGCTGATTAGACATTTCAGTTTGCTTGCAACCAGCTCACAGAGCTCAGCACTCAATGCTGCGCTTTATATAAACATTCAAAAGAAAAAGAGAAAAAAGGGGGAAACCAAAAATTTGTTCCTACAAAGGAAGCAATGGAAAAGAGCTCACAAAAATCCCCAGAAAACTCTGAACACTCAACTGCAACACTTCTGCAAGGGAGGAGGGTGCCTGAATCCACAATGCTGCAGACCAAAGTATAACAATGGAGATGGAAATTTCAGTAGTGTGGATACACCTCCACCCCCAGTCCAGTGGCACTTAACTGAAAAAAGTGCTTTATCATTACAACAAGTTAATGACATAAAGTTCCCTGTTACCTAATAATGAAAACTCTGAAATTTCACTCCTACCTTAGAAATAAGTAAATACACCACCACCTGCTTTGCAGATTGTAAATCCCACGGAAAATAAACACCAACTACCAACAGACATACCTGTTTTATTTTCAAGGACTGAAAACAGCATTTCTGCTGGTTTTCCACAAAGAAGTAGTATTTTAACACTTACCTTTTCACCTTTCTAAGATACTATCTTATACAAGACCCTCCCTCTAGAAGCAGCAACACATTTTAAAAGGGTCAGAAACAAAAAGTGAATGACTGAATGTATCAGTCATTGTTAACCATTTTTCTTCCACAGAAATTCAACATAATATGATGGAAAAGACTACACAGATAAGCTGTGAAAGACAGGGACTTTTTTGTATTCTCAAAAGGAAAAAGCAAGCAAGATAAAGAAAAATTCTTTCATAATCATTTAACTTCTTTGTAATCAAAATTAGCAAAGGCAACATATGTACAGATTGAGCAGGCAAGCGAGAGGAAGGATGACATGACAAGTGACCAACTCCCATGCAAATCCGCTTATTGAACTGAGATGTTTTGACAGTCCAATAGAAGAAACTTCTCATTTACACCAAATAGCACTCTAAAAACACAAAGATTACTTGAGTCACACTAAAATCTAATCTCCTGCGTTTTTAATGGACATACATTAAATAGATAATCAGAAGAGTTGACAAAAGGACAGATATGCTTGAATATTTATTGAATGCATATTTATTGAATTTTAAATTGCACAGATCTTTTACATTCACCTGCATAAGCTACTAATTTAACAATTGTTAGTACTAACAATTTACATAATACACCTGCTTACTCATATTTACAAGAGATCACTTCTCATTTCAGCAACAGCTCCAAGCAAAGCTGGAAGACGCCAAAAGGTTCATTCAAGCATCTGTGCTGCCCAAGAGAATGGGACAAATACATAAAAATCAATGTTTCTCTAAATAGAGGGGTATTTTTTCAGGGTCAATGGTGTTGCTAAATAAAACAGTTCGATGCTTCAATTTCTAATTAAAGCCAGTAAATGGACACATACACTTCCACCTGCTCAAAACTTCTGAAAGACACATCAAGCTAAATGTAATTTACATATATTTAGATATCAATTGATTCTAAGCACTATTGAATGGTAGATTTATAAACCTAGGATCACAATTTCCTGAGAAACTTCGTCCCAAGTTAGCTGTCCTCCTCCCTTCAGTTAATGATCGCAAATTGTGGTATATTATCAGTCTGCATTTAGATCCGACTTTGGGAAAGGAGGCTGGAGAATCCAAGACAATGTTAGTGGAGCAAACTGAAAAGAAGAAAATTAAGGAAGATAAAGCAATCATTGAGATTCACAAGGGGTGGTTATTTATGAGGAATAGAAATAAGGAAGAATGTCAACTAAGTCTCTAAAGGGAAATAAGGATGTCATAACATATGATCATCCCATGAAAAAGAATCTTTGTCTCCCTCACAAAACACAGAACAACCCCCCTATTTCTCATTTCCATTAAGGACAGCTTAGTATGCACTTTACCTTAAGTGGACTACCAATAAAATCCACTCTCTTTTGATAAGCTCTTATTTATTCTAGAAAACAAGTATATTACTGGAAACTGGAAAGAACTGCACTGTTTGCCAGGATATTAACCCTGTTCTACAGCTGTTACTGTAGCCACTGCAAAGATTCCAGCACAGAGATAAATCTCCCACACACACTATAGACTTGGGAGATAAGAAATTTTTGCTTCCTTCCTCCTACCATTGCTGGTTGGGAGCAGAAGGCACTGAAAGAAGCTCAGCAGAGATAGCCCTGGGATACAGAGCAGAGCAGTGAAAATGAAAAGTCACCATTGAAAGAAAAGCCAAGTAAGTCAATGACATCAGGAACTCACAGTGCTGCTGCCTCCCAGCCAGTCACAGAGAGCTTTTCTGGGAAGCACTTGCTCCAGCAGCATATGGCTGACAGTGGGCATTCAGCCTGCATCACTCACCAACAAGGGCTTTAAAAAATAGGAGTCTGATCAGAGTGCTGCTTTCTCTAATGAGGAGCAAGAAAGGGAGAATAAATTAGAGAGCAGCAGGGGAATGAAGATATTTATGACATGCCTTTACCAAAAGCTTGCATCAACAATATAAACATATGGCCAAAGATGCCTTTGGTTTAATGCTGCCCAAATTCTTGTGGGGTTACTTTTTTTTTTCATACATATACTTCAGGAGAGAGTTAAAAAAAAAAAAAGAAAAAGCACAGAGAATACTACTACTTTCACATAAGCTGCCAAACACAGCCAAAAAATGTTTCATGGTCTCTGTGTGAACAGTGCAGACATTGACACTGGCTGGTAACCTAAGCTCTCACCTTCAGCCCTTTTAGAATGCTCCCAGAGCTTCAGTCTTTCCTGTCATCCACAAAACAACTTTATTTCCTTCAGCTTTGAAAAAGAGTTGCTGAAGCTGCTGATGGTTCCTATTTCTTTTCTCTGATGCTTTTAACTGCTCAAGACTTCACCTTATACAAGAGAAGGAAGAAAAGGGACTTCTATCCAGACCACTTGATGCTTAAAGTTGTGTTCCCACATCAGATACAAAAAGAAGAAAAAGAATTTCTGAATTGTGGGTTATTTTCAACTCTATTCCAAGTAAATTCTAGGAAGCATCACAAAACAGTAAATAATTTGGTTTTGAGCACTACAGAGAGAGTAGAGCTCGCTCTCTCTTCAAGGCTGAGTTAACAGAAAAAAGAAAAGACAACACATGAAAAATTCATTAGAAGGCACAGTGTGGCAACAGAATGCTGGAGTGGCTGACTGCTGCATGCCTGGTAATGGAGACTGCTTAAGTAGGGTACAAAAGGCAGGGCACTCGCTGCTGACATGATAAAGGATCACAGAGGAACAAATAACACTGATGCTTCATCCACAGGAAATCTTTCTTGCTGTGAACTGAAGCCTGATTCCTTCCTCTTCAGTTAAAAAAAAAATCATTTTCCTAAAAAGAAAGAAAAAATATCAAAGTTAAGGTATAGTTACCCATTATTTTTTTCAATTAAAAAATTAGGAAGAAACAGAATGGGAAAATAAAGCTATGCCTACCTGGAGTACAGGATCTTTTGTCTCCTGCTGATGATGAGTAGAATGTCTCTGTGAGGATTTGTACACTTTAGCATGATGACAGCAAAGTGAGAAAGGGCAGCCCTTGACAAACAAGCTTTAAATCAAGTAATTCTGTAATGCAGACAATATTTCTACACAAACCATGCACACAAGGAGCACCAATCCAAGAGTCTTCCCCATCTTTAGAGCATTTGCATTAACACATGTTTGTAGGTCAGATTTATTCTATACAACTTGTTTCCCATGTTCTGTACCTCGACATCCTGAACACTGGATAAAGAAGTTGATTAAATCCAGAAGTGCTATGTCCCTGTCTTGTTTATATGATTCAATCCAGTCGTCCACCACAGACTGTCAAGAAAAAAAGAATACTTATCAGAGACTCTTAAAAAGTGTTTTATTAAAGGCAAATGACTTATTCTTTTCAGAATATAATTTTATAACTGAGCATTTATTTTGCATAATTATACATGTGTACAAATTGAAATATCTATGCACCTTCTCTCAAGGTGGAGACAGAACAAATATTGTTAGACAGCAGAATTATATAATCATTTTCTGGTATTATATTGTATAAACACAAGTTGAAATTGAAATTACTGTAATTTCCCAAAACTACTTAGAGAATTTTTTCAGTGTTAAAATTGTGTTGAAAAAAAGCAAATATTGTTACTCCATTGCAAATGACCAACATATTCCCAGAAAACTGATGACTAGAAATACTTTGGGATAAATACTGATTTTATATTGCATAGTGAATATCCCAGTCAGTCACTCAGGAACAGTGTAAATAGTTCAGGAAAACAAAATATTATGAGGAATACACAGTAAATAAAATAATTCACAGAAGTTTGACTTAGGGTGTTTCTAAGCTACCTGGATCACAGGATAGGAAATTCAGCCAGTTTTCAACTGCCCTCAGAACTACAGTTAGCCACGAGCTATTTTCATCATCTCTGATATTCCAAGCTCCTCAGCTACATCAACACTGTAGGTAAGGAATTGTGTATATTTAATGTAATCAAATATTATGTTTTACTTATTTTATGAGGGAAAAGAAACTTTTCTGTTCCACACATGCAACAGCATTCATTAGGAAAAGCTTGATTATGTTTTCAGAGCACACCTTGCAAATAGATTAGTTTATTCTGGACAGTTCAGGTCTACAATGAATTTCTACAAAGTTAAATTTAAAAAGCCACACACACATAGAAACACCCCACCATGCCCACACAACTGGCTTCTATCATGCTGAAAAGGAATCAATAGGAAAGACAAAAAATTCCAAACAATTTGATCTCTTAGAAAAATCTGCCTTTTTCTTAATTAGCTGTAAGGAGGGATCTTAAAAAATCCCTCTGCAGTTTCCAGTTTATCCAAGTGCAAACTCCCAAGTCTACCCCAGCAGGTGTGTGAGGAAAAGGATGCAGCAAAGCACCTGGGTATGGTCCCAGAAACACAGAGAACTCTGAACTGAGCCAAAGCACTCCATGTTTAACACACATCACTGCACCCACCCTTGAGCCAGGAGCAGACCAGCAGTACTATCATGTTATCCAACAACCAGCATCAATCTCTAAACACCCAGCTGGCCAGGAAACTCAGTTTTCACAGGTTTTGCCTCCCAAAACACACACACACACCCAGTAGGAGAAGCAATCTTAAAAAGGAGTCCATCTGCTACTTAGAAGAAATTAGAAAGCAAGTCTTGGCCTCTAATTAAGCTTCACACAAGATGAGGAAGCAGCAGCACAAAATCAGTTATCTAGAATGTTATCTCACTGTTATGTCATCATGAATTCAGCCCTGTTCCTGGAAGTATCAATCATTTCAATCAATCAACAAAAATTCTCCAGGGCACAGAAACCAAATGTAGCCAAATGTAAAAAGTATTTACTACACCAAATATTGACAGAGCTTAATGACCAGGCTGTTGGTGTGCTACCAATTTACAAGATTTGTTTGAACAGCTCTATTACTCTAGATATCAGAACATGCAATTGCCAGAGCTATTTTTTACACCAAAGAAAATAGCAGCTGTGCAGGGCCAGGAAACAGCAGTTGTACAGGTTCACCTGCCCAACAGAGCTTACACATGCAGGGAAAAGCATAAGAAAAGGACAAGAATACACTGATATTTCTGAGTTACTGTCCCAGATCCTTAAGACCCCAGCAAATTTCTTCTGTCATGGATGTGTCTGTCTAAACCAGCTTTACATCTACATTATCTCACAGCAGTGTGTAAGGGCTAGTTATTCACTGCAAAATGAAAGAACAGTTGTGTTTTAAACTTGCCAATTGTTAGATCCATTTGATGTGACTCAATTCTTATGAAACAAGAAAAAACAAATTCCAACTCCTTGTTTGCATTTTCCATGCTTCCATCTGGTCACCTCTTTCCAGGCAGAATAATCCTACCCTGTGCCATGTGGCTTGCCCAGAAATAATTCTGTATCTTTATTCTTGCCCACTCTTGTCACACATCTCCTGACAGTTTCTGAAGTCTACTATATTCTTCTTTGAGCCTGGGAAATCTCAGTTGCTTTCCCTTAGTGTTAATATCTATTTTCCCAGCATCTCTTCATTATCCACAGCAGAGTTTCACAGAAAACATTCCCTGTGGAAGTAAGGCTGGCCCAAGAAATTCCCTCCCACGTTCAGTCTGACTCCTATTTGTTGCCACAACACACTGCCCCTTCAGCCATGCCACTGCAGCTTCTCATGGGCTGTGCTATAAATACTGCCAATTAACCCATCTGGACTTAAAAAAATGGGGAGCCAAGGAAAAAATGTGAAGGAATACCTTTAAATTTTGCTTCTGTTTCTTTTATAAAATTATTTAAATTATTTTTGCGGTACTATCTCAAACCGCAGCATCAGTGCAGCTCCTCTCACTTCTGTTTATCTGTCATACAAAAAGAATTGTGTGGGACACATTGTGTCCTTGGGCACTGGGGCCCACTCTGTCCTACCAGCGGGGCACTTGCACCTCAACCCAAAACCATCATGCAATTTACAGAAAAATAAAGACAAGTGGCTCATCTCCAGACTTGGGGACCAGACTTGAGGCAGTGCAGTCTTCAGTGGCAGCAGTAGATAAGAAAAGCAGAAAATCAGAGCAAAGGTTCTCAGAGGGACAGCAGGCAAAGACTGTCCTGACCTCCCAGAGAAGTGAGAAAGCTGGGAGCAAAATCTGAATTTGTGGGTAGGCTTCCTTTGATCTAACTGCATGCACAAGCTCTCAGTGCCTTGGCACTCCCCACTGTGTGTGACACACCCAGGCACAGTCAGTGTAACTCCCTGCTGTGAACAGGTACCTGTGGAGAGCTGGACAAGGGAATTGAGCTGTAAATGTTGTGTTTACCCCAAGAGAGCCCCACTGACTGAGGGGCTGCAGGAAACAAGTCACACACAGGCACCTGTGCCAGCATCTGCACAGAGCCACACAAACTGCATTCACTAAGCACTAAAAATCAGTGCCCCAAAATAACACCCAGAGCCCCCACACACTCAGCCCCTGTGCACACTTGGCATGCTGGCTGCCTAATTCTGTTAGAGATTACAGTTTAAGGCAACAGGAGATGATGAAGCCAGACTACATATGCTACAACAGTTGGAACTTAATCAAACTGTTGACTTTTGATGTAACTGAAAAGAGCTATAAAAACTGAAAACACTAGATGAATAAATAAAAATGACACACATCAGACCCAAAAGAGAGACCAAGTATCAACTGAACCAAGACAAAACAGCAGTAATGCAAATACCAGGAAAAAAGACTGAATACAAGCAAAAAAGGAATCAAACCACAGGCAGCGGTGTAGCAAATGGTGCAACATGCAAGCCTTGCCAGGAATGGAATTATTTTGCATAAATATGCATAGAGAGAAGGACTCCTATTAAAAACAAGGATTTCTAACCAACAGGCCCCAGGTAACAGCAAACCCTCTTTTTATGCATAATCCAAGAGCAAACTCAGGGAAATGGCCCACATTTGATCCCCTTGCCCAGAGACCTCCTGTTCTTGCCCCTCCCTGTCACCTGTCCCAAGCACAAACCATTAACACCTTGAAGGCACAAGAGGTGACAGGAGGGAAGGACCAGGTGGCCCTTTCAGAAAGGAGGTAGCTACAAGCAGGTTCCATCCTCCAGAATCCATCTCCACAAGTCTCCCTGCTTACTGCCACAAAACACCTAAGAAATAGGGCAGCAAGAGATTGCATGAGCTGCTGCAGTGTTACCCACCTGCTTCCAGATGTTTTTACCTACAGATGCAGTGGGGAGCATGGATTCACCATATGGAAATGGGCACTTACATGCTGTGCATGAAATACATGATCAATTCAGCACAGGACCTACAGGACACGTGCTGCAGCCTGCCCAGGGGCAGCACATCCATGCTCTTGGGATTCACCAACTTCAAGGCACACACACAAGGAAAAGCCTCCCTTGGCAATGAGCTCAGTTCCACAGACAAACCTCCAAATGACTCCAGTAACACCAACAGCCTTCCTCCACTCTCTGCTGTCAGGACACAACTGGACACATGCACACACACTTAGATACGAGCACACAGGCACACACATGCACCACATCTCTGGGTCAGTCAACAAGTCCATACAGGTACATCACAAAAATAACTCAACCATTTTTTAAAATTATGAAATTGCTTCTATTCTTATGAGAACTGAGTTAAAAAAAATCAAGGATTCCTGCAAATGGCAGATGATGTATGGTACGCATACAGAGTCTGTACAAAGATTTTCCAAAGCCTGCAGTGGTTTTCAAAAGAATCTCACAGAAATGAACTCTTTGGTGAGTCTGTTTTAAGAACTACCACAGAGCATAATTTGAAGAATATGCCAGGTAAGCAACCCCACAGAAATAAGAAGCCTAAATGAAGTCAAGCAAATAGCAGAATAAATGAGCCTGAGTAAATAACTTCAAATCAATCAACTTGGAGGAATATTGACCTTCACATCCCAAAGTCTGCTAAAAGATAAACCAAAGCATTTTATGGTACTGAGGAGGGACAGCAGCTTGGGGTTGCCAGTAAAAGCAAGTCAGAGGCAATGAATGAAATAATGAAGCTAGTGATCCTATTACCTCCTCTAGGCTCTGCAGTTATGAATCCATTTCATACTCCTCCAGTGTGAGAGAATTTTGGAGCATTAAGTGCTGGAGGAAGCAAAGGGACTGACTGCAGAGGACACCTTGCCAACTCATGTAAATTAGCACAGTCCCACTAAATATTAATGAAAGCTGATTTCAAAAAAAGCTATTTCACAATTTCAATTAAGTAACAATCTGGCAACAGTGCTACAAACAAAAGGGAAAACAAATGACACCAT